TGGCTGTGGGTGGGCTCTGGAGGCTGTGGGGGGGCTCTGGATGCTGTGGGGGGCTCTGGAGGCTGTGGGGGGGCTCTGGAGGCTGTGGGTGGGCTCTGGAGGCTGTGGGTGGGCTCTGGAGGCTGTGGGGGGCTCTGGAGGCTGTGGGTGGGCTGTGTGCTTAAAGCCTGAGGTTTGAGAGGTACAGGGTTTCACTTCAGGTGATATCTAGTGGGCAGGGGTGTTGCTGGACCTATCTTTGTTGAATTTCCACTTGGGGAGTTTAGAACACTGATACCGTGGGTCTCATTGGGGCCTTGTGCAAATGAATTGCTCTAAAGGCACAGCGAACTAGTTGGGCAATGAGCTGTAATTAGTATTTTATGCCTTAAGGCATTTTTAGAGTCAGCCTGAAAACTGTACACCAGCATCAATGATGTATGCCAGTCAGCTATGTGCCCAGTGTATATGCACATCATGCCCCGTGCTGGAGGGATAGCTCAGTAGTCCTCCAGCTGCTGGACTGAAACGGAGCATGCTCAGATCTGAGACGTGCCGAGAGCATGTCTTCTCACTAGATTGATGCTAAATTAATGGTCACTATAGTACAGACTCTGAATATGATGAAATTGGTTAAAAACTTCAAAATCTTTACTTATAACATTCGATTTCCATTATTGTGACAAATTAGATGATTTGAAAATGGTTGTGGTTTTTCCAAGGTAATTTTTCCCCCCTTCTTCATTGAGAAATATGTGCCAAGTGCAGCTGTTAATGGTATGTACCAAGCAGCTTCCCATGGCCAAGCAGGCTCATAGGAGGTGGCTGTAATATTATCAAGATCAAATAAGTTTTCCCTCATAGGAAAATGCTAAAAATCATGTACATGTATTCAAATTTACTTAGTTTGTCTTCAGAAGTGCTTGAATTAGTGTTGAGTACATACTCTAAGCAAATGAATTAAATAAGCCAATTATTGATTCCAGTGAACACAAGTTATCCAGAGGAGAAAATGTAATCACACAATACTATTTATCTCAGCTCTGAACATAGTTTATATAACCACAGCCGTAGAAACAGTAACCAGCGAGGAAATAAACATCTATTTAAAAATATATACACACCACAGAGAGGAAGAGAGGGGGTGGCTGTGTGGGAGAGATGACAGACAGGTGAATGGATTGATGGACAGACAGACAGACAGACAGACACAAAATTGTAGGCAGACAGCTGGAAAGCCTAGGGAAATGAGGGAAAGCCTAGAGAGAAGGGAAATGTATGTGAGTGGTAGAGCCAGGCAAACCCATTTTTCCCTGCTGGAAAGGCAACAATTGGAAAGTCAAGACCTGGCAGCTAAAAACAGGCTACACAGAGAGGTATGCAAATAACACAAATAACAAATAACACAGGAACTGGTTAAAAACACTGAGCTGTGGCAGATCACGATCTCATTCACGGAGGCTTGTAACAGTGACCAGAAAATGGTCGTGAAGAGAACATGCAGGCAAATGAACAAAGGTAGGTGAAAAGGAATGACAGCAAAGGCTGTTAAAACCCTAACTGAGAGGGCCACAAGGCAGGAGTGGGGGGGGGGGGCGAAGAGGCCTAAGAGTGCCATCCCCTGTCACCTTTCCCCTGTGTTTGGCTCCTGTTGTTTCTGTCCCCATGCCCTTTAGTGTGGGGGAGCTGGGTTGGGATGAGAAGCTGGCGGCGTGTTTGCTCTTGGCATCAGATGATGTCTTTGAGGTTGAAATTTGTTAGTCTGGACGACGTCTCAAAGGACTCAGGGTTGTTTTGGAGGGTGCCCGTCCTCCCGTCTCCGAGTCTCGGAGGACTGTGAAGGTGACATTTCAGCAAGCCCTTCTGGAGCATCTCTGTTGGCTCTGGGTGCTCCCTAAGCGGAGCACGCCGCCGCCTCACCTGTCAGAGGGGTGTCTCTGAAGCAGAGAGTCTGGCAGTAGCTGAGCGAATACACGAACGAAACCATACTGCTCAGGCCATACCCTCTTTTCCCTGGGCAAGGGTATGGTCAAATGGGAACAACCAGGCACCAAACTGTATAAAAGATAGAAAGTGTGATTCGGTGGGGTTTGAGGGGGATAGTGTGGGGTTTGAGGGGGATAGTGTGGGTGTGGGACGAAGCTACAGAGAACTGTGACAGCCAAATTGAAGTGAGGACCAAGACCAAGGACTTTGAAGAGCTGGGTTAGACAGGCTGCTAGGAGGGTGCTCAGCTCAGCTTCGGGGAAACACTCTCTCCCAGCTGGGGTGTCTTGAAAGGTGTGCCTTTTTCCTTTCCTTTTTTTAACCACTTAGTATGGAAAATTCAAATATATGTTGGATAGTGAACCCTCACATGCCTGTTATCTAGCTCTAGCCTTTAGCAATTCATAGCCAGTTTAATGTCATCAGAAGCCTACTTCCCACACTGGGGATTACTTAAAGTAAATTTAAAATATTTTAATTATCATAAACTTATTATACGTGATAATGGGTTTCATGATTTTTTTTACATTTATTTCATGTGTGTACACATGGTGCTTATGTTGAGGCTAGAGGGTAACTTTCAGAAGTTGATTCTCTCCTCTTACTCTGTGAGGACAAGGCATTGAAGTCAGGCTATCAGGCTTGGTGGCAAAGTGCCTTTACCCACTGAGCCATCTTGCTACCCTGTGATTGGCTCTTGGGACGTGTTGACCTAGCTGGAGGAAGCAGATCACTGGGGTCTTGTCCAGGCTCTGTTTTATTTTGTTTTGTTTTGTTGTGTCTTTAAGACAGTATTTCTCTGTGTACCAGCCCTGGCTTTCCTGGAACTCACTCGAACTCACAGAGATCTGCCTGCCTCTGCCTCCCAAGTGCTGGGATTAAAGGCGTGTGCCACCATGCCCAGCTCAGGCTCCTTCTTTTATGCCCCCTTTCTTTGTTTCCTGGCTCCGGTGCTGTAAGCTGCCCTATTCCGCCACAGCTTCCTTTCCATCGTGTAGAGACACCTGAAACTGTGACATGGAAATATTTGTCTTTTTAAATATATATTGTGAGTATATACAATGTGTGTGTGTGTGTGTGTGTGTGTGTGTGTGTGTGTGTGTCCATACTGCCACCTCTGGGTTGATGGTCCTGGGGTATATAAGCAAGCAGGCTGATCAAGCCATGAAGAGCAAGCAGTACCCCTCCATGGCCTCTGCATCAGCTCCTGCCTCGAGGTTCCTGCCTTGAGTTCACGCCCTAACTTCTTTCATTATAGACTACAACTGTAGACTGAAATATACTCCAGGAGTTATATTTGGTCGTGGTGTTTTTGGCAGTAATAGAAGGCAAACTAGTGGTATATTAATTAGCTAATTTGGTGTGTGTGTGTGTATGCCACAGTGTTCATGTGGAGGTCAGAGGACATCCCTGTGGCATTGGTCCTCTCCTTCCTTTTACGTGGGTCCTGGGCATTGAACTCATATTACCAAGCTTGTGTCTCAAGCACCTTTACCTACTGAGTACACCTTGCTGACACTTCTTGTTGTCTGACATGGTCTCAGGTAGCCCAGGCTGGACCCAAACACACTGTGTAGCTGAGGATGATCTTGAACTTCTGAACTTTGTGCCTCTTAAGTGCTGGGGTTATAGAAGCATACCGCTGTGTCTGGCTTAAATCTCTTCTTCTTTACGTAGGGAGGAAGTCAAGTGATTTGGTCACTGTGGCATAAAAGCCTGACTCTCCTCCCGGAGCCTCCTAGGTGTAGGTCCACATAGAACGACTAGAAGATGAACATAGTGCTGCCAGAAATACTTCTTATGTTCAGAAGGAATCTCTGAGTAGTCCTGGAGAGCCAGAAGTGAATCCAAAACTCTCTGCCTTTGTATAAGCCCAGTGGACTGTCACCTCTTGGAGCGAAGGATGGTGTCTTGGCTATATGCGTCCCCGCCCTTACACTCAGTCACAGAGCTGGTACCAAGCCAGGTGCCTAGTCTGTAGCTGTGGTTTGAACTCAACTAGCCATTAAGAGGCAGTTCATTCACCCTATGGAAGAGCATAGTTCAGGAGTTAGAATCACCTGGGAGTCCTTAGCTGGGCAGGGCCCGTGTGGGGCTACAGCCGGAAGTCTCCAGCAGACCTGGGTTCGGTTCCATCTTGACTTCTGCCTTCTGCCACCTTGCAGCTGTGTGACTTCTCTCCCCGACGAAGCTTGTCACCCTCAAAGTCCTGAGGAGTGAATATGACACTGCACACAGAGCTCACTGCCCAACTCCTTAGCTGTGTGCCAGCACGTGCCTGGCAAGCCTGAGGACTTGAGTTCGAGCCCCCAAACCTGCCATGGGGCGTGCTTGTGATCCCAGTGGTAGGGAGGTGGAGGTGGGTGGATCTTGCTGATGGATGGCCAGCCAGCCTTGCCTTCTCAGTGAGCTCCAGGCTAATAAGAAACCCCCATCTCAAACAACCACATACATACACACAAACCAGGGTGTGGGCAGCTGAGGAGTGACACCGGAAGCAGTTCCCTAATCTCCATACACATGCACACCCACCCACAAATGGGTGTTCACAAAGGTCGCTGTCATTGGTCGACACAGTGGCAGGGATGGCCCACAGAAACTTTCAGAGTCTGCTGCCCCTCCCCCCACCCCAGGCATGGGCCCCCAGCAGCGGAGAGCAGTACATTATATGACCTTGGCTTTTGTTTTATTTCTTGCTCCCGGGAAAGCCAAGATTGTTTTACGTGAGAATCCGTTTCCTGCATTGCATCAGGCTCTGGTTGGCCATTTACATGTGGTGGCCAAAGGTTCCTACGTTTCTCTCTCTATATGTGGTGTGGAGCTACTGCCTAACAATAGCTTAGCAAACAGTTATTCTAAGCTCTTCAAACAGAAGCCCTGGCCAAAGGGCTCTGGTGCAAGACAGCGGGCCTTCCCTGTTACCCTGCTCTGTGGCTGATTCAGCAGCTTTTCCAGGGCCCTCCTCCAGGCCCTGGGTCTGTCAGGTCACTAATGGAATCTGCTGGAAGTGAATTAACTCCTGAAAAAAAGGGCTAACGAATCACTTCAGCTGTTGGTGTCTGCCCCAGGACGGGCCGGTTGGTTGCACGTCCATTCGTGTGTCTTCTCCCCACTTGGCATCCCCTCTCCCGGGAGCCCTGGTTGCGGAGGGGCAGAGGCTGCCGTGAAGTGGCAGAGCTATGACCTGCAAGGTGAGGAGGCTTCGAATCCCACCGCCGCTTCCTGTGCAGAGAGCCCGGCGCTGGCCTCCATGCCTTGTTTGCACTGCTGGGTTTAGCGAGCCTTAGTCCTTTTTTAAATTGTCATTTTTGTTTTTCAACTGGACACAGGCTAGAGTTATCTGGGATGGGAGCCTCAACTAAGAAAACGCTTCTTCCGGACTGCCTGTGGGAAAGCCTGTGGGAGCGTTTTTCCTGATTAATGATTGATGGGGGAGGGGACCCAGCCCACTGAAGGTGGTGCCATCCTTGGACAGGTGGTCTGGGTGTTAAAAGCAGGCTGGGCAAGCCGTGGGGAGCAAGCCAGTAAGCGGCGTCCCTCCCCGGCTCCTGCTTTAGAATAAGTCCTGCCCCCAGGTTCCTGCCCTGACTTCCCCTAGCGATGAGATGAAATAAGCCCTTTCTCCCCCAAGCTGTTTTTGATTATGGTGTTTTATCACCATAGAAACACTAAGACAGTGCCTTGTGCCAAGTCAGAGCTGAGAAGAGGGGGCAGTAGATGGCTCTGTTCTTAAGCCTGGGTGTGGGTTTGTCTTTTTCCCTTTCCAGAGGACCATCACCTGCAAGCTGGGATCCCTGCTCCTCCGGGTCTGTCTACACCCCCGAATTCATAGAAGGTAGTTTCTCTCCCTAGACCAGGGCAGGGCTTGGGGGTCTTCCCCAAGTAGGCTGGGAAACAGACTTTTGTAAGTGCTAGACCCTTACCTCCAGCTTTCCCTGTCTTTCTTCCCCACAGAGTAAATTTCTCGCTGGGGTAGGGATAGGCATCTTCCAGGACTGGTCAGAGAGGGGTAGATGTCCTACTTTGGAGAAGAAGGTCTAGGGCAGTGGTTCTGTGGGTCACTACGCACTTGGAGGGGGGGTTGTCCAATAACCCTGCCACAGGGGTCGCCTACCTGATGTCCTGCATCTCAGCTATTTATTTACATTACGATCCGTGACAGTCACAAATTGACAGTTATGAAGTAGCAGCAAAATAATGCTATGGTTGGAGGTCACCACAAATGTGAGGAACTGTATTAAAGGGCTGAAGGAGTAGGAAGATTGAGAACCACTGATCTAGGGGAAAGATTCAGTGGGACTAGAGGTTCCCTGGTTCCCTGGGAAGAAGGGATCTTCATCAGTGGAATGAGGTTATGTGTGGCTGCCATTGAGTCTGGGTAGAGGAAACCATAGGCTGCTCTTGCTGGAAAGCCACTGGACAGGATAGGCTGTAGAAAGGTCTGAAGATTGGACGAGGCGAAGAATAAAGTGACCCTCCCAAATGCTTGTTTCCTTACAACCCACATAGCTTTTTGGCAGCAGTGTTCTAGTTAGACTTTAGAATCTAGGTTCCTGATTACCTAAGGACAAGGATTATGATGTGCATCTTTTATTGATGCCCGTGCCTGGACTCATTAAAAGACTCCTGAGGTGTGAGGTCTCTAGCTAACAGCACCTGATGCTGTCCTTTCTTCTGTCCCAGTGACTCAGAGTTAGTCATGGACCAGAGCCCCTTTTTATGTGCTAGTCAATAAAACATTTTGTTCCCACCCGCACTCCCCACCTGGCCTTGGCCACTGGGTTTCCGAGGTTGGCTTAGTCGCAAATTTCTCTATTAGGCTCGGCTGCAAGCTGTCTGCGGTAGTGTGCACCATAACCACAGAGTTAGGGAGGTAGGGTATCCTCAGGGGCACGGCAAGTCTGAGGACTTGGGGTGCATTAAACCTGTGGCCTCTGTCCAAAGAATACAGGAGTCCAAGAATAAGAGCCTCAGCTGGGTAGCGTAGGCAGAGTCCCCAGTGAGCACCAAGGAGGCTGGAGTTCTGTGTCCTCACCCTGGACGGGAGCCTCTCACAGTCCGCCAGAGTCCCCACATCCCCCCAGCCACGTGTCTCAGCGCACTCAATGGCTCACTGATGCACTGTGAGCCACCCTGCCTTGCCATGTCACCACAGCAGGCCTCAGTTCTTTGCCTGTAAAATGGGCCTGATAAAAATGGCCAACTATTTCCCCAGGGGTAGAGATGTGCTAGTAGGTAGGGAATGGCATTGAAAGAAGCTGGGGAGTGGGTTAGTTCCTGATTCCCACCTCCATTTTTCCCGTTTTTTGAATATGTCCTGGCAAGTAAGCAAAAGCCATATGGGCTTTCAACAGTGTTCATCCCACAGGTAGAGAGGGGACTGTTGATAGAGCGTCATGGTTTACTAACCAGGAGGAGTGGCACTGTGTAAAACAGGGCTTGAGCTGGTAGAAGCTGAGCCCCAGGCCTCCCAGGCTGCTCTCTCCCACCCCTCCCGCCTGTTACGTTTTCATATTCCATATCAAAGTCTCAATCGCTCTTTCAAGTCCTGTGTAGTCTGGGCTCTGATCATCCGGGGACACTGCACAGTTCTTATTAATATTAAAGGTGAGGGTTTTCTCAGCTACTTCCCTTCATTTCTAAATCAGTCTTGGAAAGGAGAGGGCAGAAGTGGAATGGGAAGGACGCCTCTGTCCTGAAAGGAACGCGTTCTGGCTTGTCGCACAGATTTGGGCCGCCCCTGGTGACCTCAAGGATGGTGACATCAAATGGGAACCGTAACTGATTAGCTTCCGGACTCCTGTGACAATTAGGAGGCTTTGACTTGAGGGTCAGACTGAGACTGGCCTCCCATTGCCCAGTACCAGGAGTGTAAGGAGCCCGGATGTGCCCTCGCTGTTAAGGTTCCCAGTCAAAGATACGCTGTCAGTATCCAGCTCCGTGGTTCTCAACCTGTGGGTGGAGACCCCTTTTCGGGGTTGTTGAATGACTCTTTCACAGGAGTCACCTAAGACCATCAGAAAACAGAGATTTTTTTTTTTTTTTACATTCCTTTTCGTAACAGTAGCAACATTACCTTTATGAAGGAGCAACGGAAATAATTTTATGGTTGGCAGTCACCACAACATGAGGAACTATATCAAAAGGCTGCAGTATGAGGAAGGTTGAGAGCAACTGATCTAGCTGCATTCATGAGAAAAAAGTGTACGTAAGTGCCGTGGCTGATGTGACCAATTGGGTTTTCCAATCAGCCACGTTTACTTCAGCTTTATTTTATTTTGTTTCTTGGCTTTTTGAGACAGGGTTTCTCTGTGTAACAAACAGCCCTGGCTGTCCTGGAACTCACTTTGTAGACCAAGCTGGCCTCAGACCCACAGAGATCCGCCTGCTTCTGCTTCCCTGATGCTGGGATTAAAGGCATACGCTACCTTGGCCGGCTCACTTCAGCTTTACTTTACTTCAGTTCTCAAGGCCCTTACACCAGTGAGGGCCTTGAGAGGCGAGCCATTTTCCAAGCTTCCAATCTAAATTTCTGTAAGTAAACACTTCCCGTGGCCAAAGGGGTCTGTACGGTTTGAAGGGCTCACTTTTTAAGAGAAGAAAAAATGGCTCTAATAATTAAAGGGACATCTTTCTGTGGGATGTTTTTTTTTTTTTTTTTTTGAGGGATAGTGTGTTTGCGTTGTTTGGGGAGTGGGATCTCTAGAGCCAGGTCCACCTTGTGATGGCATGACTTCTCAGCTGGGTTCTCAGATAATCCTTAAGGAGGTCTGATCATCGCCAGGCTCTGAGGCCCACGCCTGTAACCCCAGCACTTGGGGAGGCAGAGGCAGTCGGATCTCTGTGAATTGGAGACCAGCCTGGTCTACAAAGCAAGCCCAGGATAGCCAAGATTACATAGAGAAACCCTGTCTCGGAACGCTCCCCCCCCCACACACACAAAAAAAAAAAAAAAAAAAAAAAAAAAGGGTGAGCGTGTTTCTGGTCTTTGAGGTATGTATTAGGTCTGTGTGGCTGACTCTAGCATACTGCCAAATGCAGCTTCGGCCTTCTCTTCTATCCCGTGGGCACCTCAGTGTGTATGTTCCAGGGGAAGCCACCTAGGTGTCAGCTGGATTGTGGTGAAAGGTTGCAGTATTTTGGGGGTGGTGTGGGGTAGGGCCTTATATCCCAGGATGGTCTCAAACTTGCTGTGTAGGTGAGGATGGCCTTGATTCTCCTGCCTCAGCCTTCCGAGTGCTGGGATGGCAGATGTGTGTTGTACTGTGCCTGTCTCAAGAGTTTTCAATTCATGCGGGTAGCAAGAGGTTTTCCAAATCTACTCTTGCACTTTGCAGAGAATAGTGGCCCACGCCTTTAATCCCAGGGCTGAGGGGGCGGAGGCAGGTGGATCTCTTATGAGTTTGAGGCCAGCGTGGTCAACAGAGAGAGATTTCCAGGACAGCCAGCGTTACACAGAACAAAACAAGACAAATGAATGAAAATTAAAAAAAAAAAATAGGGACACATGGCATCCGGCACACTTTGGGAGAAATAAATGATGCTAGAGTATGTTTCTCATTTTGTGACGTCCAACACTTAAAAAGTAGTACATAATTTAAAGTGATCCATACGAGAAAGGGGACAAAGCAAGGTAGTGGGGAGGGCTCCCAGGGTGGAGACATAGCATACCGCTCTTGCATAGGACCTTTGCTCAGTCTCCCAGCATCTGTGAGGGGTGGCTCAGAACCACCAGTAACTCCAGCTCCAGGGGGGAATCCGACCTCCTTCCGGCTTAAGCAGACATTTACACACACGCTCCCTACTCCCACGCATATATAGTTCAAAAAAATAAAATCAAATCTTAAGAGAGACTTCCTCACCTGCCCATTCTGCTCTCCATAGTTGTCCACAGTTATTCATGTAGCCTTCGTGTATTTTCTACGCCTCCGTGAACGTGCATGTGTGTGTGTACATTTGCAGGATAGCTAAAAAGTGAGCTTTTTCTAAAGCAGTTTCCTTTACTTCTTGGATGATTGGTGAAAGGAGAGAGATCCTGCTCTGATCCTTTAGTGGATCCCTTCCAACAAACACTTCAACCCCCAGTAAGTCTGTCCTGCACGGGCTCTGTTTAAGAAAGCCAACAGACAGTAAAAGGTTTGTGGAAAGGCAAGTTACTCCAAGTGTTGAGTACAGCCTGGGCTGTAAGCATTCACCGCACACACATCAGCAAGGAGGGCAGTAACACCATCCGCGCAAGCCGAGAAGGGGCTGTTTTAATGGAGTTTGACCAGGGGCGTGCCGGTTTTCCAGGAATCTCAGAGTAAAATCGTAAAGGTTGGATAGACATGTAACGTGAGAATGGGTGACATTTATGGCCGACTTGGTGACAGGCCGTGATCCTTATGGGTATGATAACCTGGATCCGTTTCTTCAAGATGAAAAGAGCAGTCATGCAGGGTGCTGCCTCAGCTCACACACAAATCCACCCTGCCTCGTTTTAGGAAAGGGGTGGTGTAGAGGCAGAGTGAGCTCAGTGTGGCAAACAGGACCCAGATTTTGAACTGCGCCCACGTGTTTTCTGTAGATGGGTTTTGAAGAACCATGCGGTTCTTGAAACTTTTTCTTTATTTTTTATTTTTCTGGTTTCTGGTATAGGGGTTGTGCCCAGGATATTATTTCGCTTTGTGACATCCTAGGCGACAGAGCACCAGGAAGCCTTGAGAGACAGCCATCCCCTCCTTCATTCTGTTTCTGTGGGTTCATTCTTTTTCCGCAACTTGAGTCTCTCTAGAGAATCAGGTCTGGGGCCCAGAGCTTGAAGCTCCTTTTGTCCCCTCCTCTGTCTTCCCTCCG